ATAAATAAATATAAATATTATTTTTTTAATTAAAAATTAAAAAATATAAAAATAATAATTATTTTAAAATAAAAAGAATATGAGATAACCATCATGATTTATGAATATGGACAAAAATGTCCTGATCCAAAGAAGGACTTTCGTTTTGCTCCGTGAAAAGATGGAGGGCCGAGAGAGGAGTGTATTTGCATTGTCCCAGTGGTGGAAACTTTGCATTAGATGGCTCTAGAATCTAGTCTGTTTTTGGATTTATTGCTTAATTTCTGTATTTGTTAGATTAGGCTTCTTATGTAAGAAAACAACTCTTATAACTTATATAGGATATGTCTATGGGTAAGAATACTCTTTGTATTTCATATTAATACATTTCAATTTATCTAAAAAATATGGACAAAATCGTCAAGTTTAAAATATTAAAAAAAATTTTAAGTCACTAGAATTTGTGAACATCGAAAAATATTTGAAAATTTATCACCAGAATTTGTCTACTGGAAAGTTGATATTAAGCGTAGAGAAGCAGAACAATCTCCTTCCCTTTCCTCCCATTAACTTGACAAACTCAAAATGAACAGAGATTGCGTAATATATTAGCAACCATTACAATTGAAGAGTGTACCTACTCCAACTTAAGATATTTCCTTTGATAACTTTGCCACAAAACATGGCGCCATGTATTCAGGATTATATTGTTAGAGATGTCGTCCAAATGAGGACAAAACCATAACATTACATAGCGAAATAACATTGAAATAGAAGAAAAATCTATGTAATCTTCCATGCTTCAACAGAACAGGGCGAGTGGCAGAGAGCAACTCACGGCATTTAGTTGTAAAGTACTTTCTTGTTTTCTGGACACTCTAGTCCTAGCTATCTGCCCTTCCTCAAACTAGTCTCACCTCCTTCATCTGCGCAAGTAGTTCTGCTTCCAACAAGCTCTCCCAGGAAATAAGCTCAAAATGCCAATTTTGTCCCATAGGCTAGAAAAGATAAAAGGCATTCCTCCGATATCTTTGAACAATGAATGGGGGTGATCACTTCCGTGCACAATGCTCCCCAATTTTAAGCTTCATGGCAGAGAGGAACCAAAAGATTTCAGCTTTCATAGGAACCACCTTTCAAGTTGACTTGATTCCATATCACTGTTGCTTGAAGAAACTCCCTTTCTTCAAAAACCTAATGAATTAGGATATTGTGGACAAAGAGCCATGAACAAATTTGCTCACTATTAGCTATGCGTTGCCCTCTATCTGTTGATAAGCAACAAGAAGAGAATACAATTAAAATCATGTTACCTATTAGAAAATAAATTGATCCTTCTTAATTTTAAACCTTAAGGCTACATTATGAATTTTCTTGTCTAATGCAAATAAAACAACAATGTACAAGATGTTTGGTAAGGATTACCTAAGCTGCTTCTGCGAAGGTACTTCTGGTACCAAAAGCACCATATTACACCAACCTCCAAGTTGATGGTTTAATTCAATTCCTTCACTTTGATGGGTAATTTTATCAACAACTTGTCTCTGTATAAATTCCAAGCACAAGATTAGGAAAGCAAAGATGATGCATGGGACAATGCTATTTGAGATAAGAATTTTTACCAAGTAAAAAATGATAGAACAACCAAGCACCTCTTTGAATTTTGTTTAAGTAGTGCTCCAATGGCATCTTATCACCCTTATGGTTTGCTAGCACAGCAGCAAGAGAACAAAGTCACACGCACCAGCCAGCCCACAGATGCCTGAATGTAGCATGTCTACTTGTAAATATTAGATCCTAGAAAGAAAAAAAATAAAAGGAAAAGGGCTGTTGAAAGATGTTTACCAGCAAGTTCATTAAGAGGAAGATAAATTTCACATAAGCATTGAACTCAAAACACCCTTTTTTTATATTAAATTTCAGTAGCAAGAAAGCGCATGGAGTTTTAGATCTTGAACACGTGCTTATGACTTTTAGATCTAACACATTGACTAGTATATAATGAATTTCCCTTGTTCAATTGGTCTTTAAGGGAAAATCACGAAAAAAAAAAATTGAACTTTTAGTCTAGAAACCTATATGTAGGCATCATGTCCACAATATGTCTTGAGTCCATTTTCACGAAGAAATAGATGCAGATTTTAGAATCAAAAAATGAATTCCATGAATTCTCAAAGAAAACAAATAAAACCAAACATCATACCTCCATGGAATAAATCTGATAATTTCTATTAGCAAAAGAAACCAAAGTTTTATCTTTCCAATAAAGGAACTTCAAATATGTGTCCATGGAATTAGAAAGAGAGAAGAATTACCAAGAATTTCTAAACGCGGATGGACATGCATCAAGAATCTTATTGTTGCTGATGTGTTAAGCTTTGAAGACCGAATAAGCTACCTCATAAGGCCAACGTAGAGAATAATAATAAAAGCAAGATTGACATGCTTTCCATCCAATCTCCACGGTTCTCTGACTCCTAGGTTTGAGACAACGTTAGGCAGAACCAAATATTTTGAAGAAATTAGGATCAAACCAAATATTCATTCAAAAAGGAAAAAGAAACATAAGTCATTTGAAGAAATTAGGATCAAACCAAATATTCATTCAAAAAGGAAAAAGAAACATAAGTCATTTTGACATACCATAAACATAGGGCAGAAAAAGAAGAGCTAAACAAATCTTTTAGTTAGATCAGTGACTTAGGTCAGTATATGTTTACACACTTCAAGGAAACATCTAAAATGAAGATAATAAAATTCAGGAACACAATACAGCATATTTTTGTCCATTAAGAAGTAACATACATGTATGAGAAGGATATAGAAAACAATATTGCATGGAAAGAGTAAAGAGATACTTAAGTCTGCTTGTTGATTTGATTCTTCTGAGATATCCTAGTTTATCATCTTCAATGATTTTGTCATGATAGATAACAGGAATGAAGCCAAAGAATTTGACATTTGAAAACACAAAAAACGGAAAAAGCAAAATTACCAAGTCTCAAAGTTCAAAAGCTTTGAAGTGCAATTGCAATTTCCTCAAAATGTTACATCACTCAAGATATATGTCACAATTTGCAGCCTTCATCAGAAAAAGGAGAAAGAAGAACAAGTGTCTGCATCAAAGAAGGAAGAAAATGAGAAAAGACAAGAAAAGCAAGAAGAAAGGAAAAAGCTTGTTAAATCAAATTCTGAGTGGAAAATTGGAGATAATGTCTTATACACTATTTGTGGCTAATCATGTAAGAATATTTAGTACAAAAGGGTAAAAGGACAACCTTTGTATTGGGTTAACACCACTCCAACTCCAACAATTTCCACCATTCTATTGTAGACACCTCAAAATCTTTGAGATGAGGACGAGATGGTATGGCTGGCCATTGTTAAGCAGGGGAAGATACAGTGGAACCCTCTTCAGTTCCTTGTAGAATTTAAATTGCAAAGATTCCAAACAGTCACAGATCAATAGGCCTAGTCAGTTACAGATGCACTTTATGTATGCAAGGGTACGCTTGACATCTATCTCGTTAAAGCTTTCATAGTTCCTCCTAGTCCATGAGCAGCACCACCTCAAAAGTGGATAACAATCGCATTAGTACATCAATGGACATTGTCTTTTGTTTGCATCAATCTACCACTCATAGTCATTGCTATCTAGAACTTATATCTGAAATAAAATTTTAAGCCAAACCAATTATAATTGCTTTTTCTCTGTGAAAATTGGAAGTGTGGGCTTCAACAAAGGCTTGCATTAAATCTAATCCCAAAACCAATTGACAATAGGTGGAGTAGCCTTCCTTATATTCAAGGATCACATATTTCTTTGTTTCTTTGTAATTCGTTCGATGTGGGATTTACCCACCTAACACTACTGTCTTTAAGATAATTTGTGAAGAAAAGAAAGCAAGCATAGCTTACCATTAACCAAGTATTATGCCCTTACCGATATGCTTGCTGAGAAGGAATAGACCTAAAAGAAGTAAGAACACTGCTCTCCCATATAACTGTGAGTTTGCCAAGTCATTGGGAACTCTCATATGCTTCAAGAGAGAGATTATATCATAAGATTAGATAAACTAACATGATCCATTGGGATTATAATCTTATAACTATATCAGATAGAAACTATTCTTTGAGGAGTAAAAAGTGAAACCAAGTACCTCTATGACTTCTTGCAATCAAGGAGCTTGTCATCACTAGAATGCTTAAGTAGGGAAGCACTAATAGGACAAATACCTATCAAATGATTGATAAATGTAACATGACTACTTGCAAGTATAGATATTAATATTTTAGTTTAGTGAGGCTTACTAATTATTAACTAATTACAACAACAATTACTATAACAATTTGAATACAAAGACAAACCTCACTAAAATGTAGAATCAAGAATACTATTTTGGTCTAAGCAATATGAAATTGAGGTGGTAAGGGAAGGCCTGGAACTTTGGAGTCATGGGATTATAGAAATTTGAATATTTATCAAAGAAATCAAAAACAAATTCCCAACCTACAAGAAATAAAGCTAATGATTTCTAATAGCAGACAAATCAGAAAACCAGTTTCTAGTCAATTGGTGCTAGACTTTATCTACTATTCTTACAAAGGAACTACTCTACACATTGTGCGCGTGTGTGAGAGAGAGAGAGAGAGAGAAGGATATCGCCAAGAATCGCTAGAAGCAGAATCACCAATCTTAACAATCCTGTAGCTTAATGAATTTAAGATCATTCTCATTCTTAGCAACCAGGTACCTTTGAAAACCAAATAGGCTGGCCAAAGAGCCTGGAGTGTACGTAGTATAATATTTGACATGTTTTCTAGCTGCGTCTTCCGGACTACCTAAGACAGTATCGAAAAGAATCAAATATAGTATTTATCAAAGTTAATTCATATTTGAGAAAAAACAGGTTGACCTTGCGCTGGTGCTTATTCAACAAATATGAGAAGAATAAAGAATCAAAGTGCAGATGCAAAGTCAATTTCGTGAAAAGATAAGGAATGACTTTGGAAAGAATGTGTGATTTCATCCTACTAGTTTCCTTGCTGGGGGAACATGTCTTGACTTATTACGATGTATCTGAAAAGAAAGAAACAAAGAGTAAACATTTGCAAGGATGTTATATAGAAAGAAACAAAAAAAAGGAAGCATTGAAATAAAAAGTTTCAAATTCAATCCTGAGTAGAAACTTTAAGAGAAAAGGCTTACCATTGTTTGTGGCAAATTAAGTAGCTTGCAGTTGTTCTCAAAAAAGGCTAAAACGCAATGGCATTGATCATATGCAAGAGCGAAAGTAGATTTAAAAGATAAAAGGCTATGCCATACATGTGTTTACAGCTAATTATGCAAAAAATATTTGGCAAAAAAGCTGCATAAAATTTATTACTCTTTTCAGGTACATATCGAAAACCCCAAGGTAATATGAGACTAATAGGGAATAAAAAGAAGAAAAAAAGAATTTAGCAGAGTAGAAAAGAAGAAAATGAAATTTAACAACCAATTCCCATCATTATAGAAAAGGAAACAAACAAATACTCCAGTACATTCAATAAAAAAATATAAATTTCGTTACAAGCATAACTATAAAAACTACACAAACATAACAATTTTTACCACATAGTTCACACAGAATGAAATGCAAGCTACACACAAGAAACATTGCATTTTGAATTTGACATTTGAAATCACAACAAAGGAACAAAACACGAAGTTCCGAATCAAGAAAAAAATGGTGTGATTTATTCATCCTGCTTCATTTCATTGCTCTGGCCAACATGTAGTAGGGTGGCTGGAAAGGAAGAAAGAAAAAGGAAGCATTTTCAATAAAAAATATTTACTAAGAAAGAAAGAAAGAAACAGTGGAAGCATAAATATAAAAATTTTTGGAACTAAATCCTAAATGAAAACTTATGTTGTGTGGGAAAATCTCATATCGAGTATATATCAAAGAAGTATGTGGGTTAAATACAAGAAAAAGGCTATTTCACCTATTGTCAATTGGTTTTAGGTTGGATGCAAACTTTGTATTGAACCTATATGCATAATTTTTGCATGGTGTCAAAGTTACCTCAGACCAGTCCCCTTGTTTTTCCACAATCATAGCCAACCAAACGTCCTCAACAACTGCCTCTAGTGTAGGACAAACTGTTGTTGCTACCCAATCATTGCAAAAACCACTGTCATTCCTGCTGCTGCAAACTCCACTGGAACTCAAAACCCCAGCAATGTCATAATCTTCAATGTGGCAACACAGTTTATAGTAAAACTCACCTCTGATAATTACACAATGTGGAGCAAACAATTTACCTTTGTATGATTTCTTGCTCGAGACTCGAATTTGTCCCCCTGAGGATGATACACCAGATTCACCTTATGAGTGTGGATGAGGCAAGATCAATCCATACAACATGCAATCCTAACTACCGTGATAACTAGAAGATGAATGGCATACCTTTGTTTGTGGTGAATCATCGAGCACCTTGCACTTCTTCAATCCCAATGAGCAAATTTAACGAAGGGCAAAAGGACATCCTTTGCATTGGGATGCTCCCACTCCAACGATTCCCATGACTCTTTTGAAGATACCTTGATTTCTTTTAGAGAAGGAGAAGGTGAAAGAGGAACTCTTTTCAGCATCGGACAATCACCAATTAGCAAAGTCTTAAGAGAATCACACACCAACACTCTGGTTCTCCCACAGATGCTTTTCAATTTGGGCATATCACCCAAGTCGAGTAATTTTAGTTTGGGGAGAAGGAATTTACCATCTTCTTCTTCAGACTCCTCGGATGCTATTATTTCCTCCAATTCTTCACAACCATCCACAGTAATAGATTCTAGATTCTGGAGCTGCCTAACTTGCAACCCTTTAGTTCTGCCACAGATGCTTTTCAATTTGGGCATATTACGCAGTTCAAGTCTTTTCAGTTTAGGGAGAGGGAGTTCCTCGGAGGCTATTATTTCCTCCAATTCTTCACAACCATCCACAGTAATACATTCCAGATTCAGGAGCTGCCTAATCTGCAACACTCTTGTTCTGCCGTAGATGCTTTTCAATTTGGGCATGTTACGCAGTTTGAGTATTTTTAGTTTAGGGAAAGGGAGTTCCTTAGAGGCTATTATTTCCTCCAATTCTTCACAACCATCCACAGTAATAGATTCCAGATTTTGGAGCTGCCTAACCTGCAAACTTCCAGCTTTGCCACAGATGCTTTTCAATTTGTGCATGTTACACAAGACAAGTTCTTTCAGATTAGAGAGAGGGAGATTAGCATCTTCCTCTTTGAACTCTTCGAATGCTATTATTTCCTCCAATTCTTCACAACCATCCACAGTAATAGATTCCAGATTTTGGAGCTGCCTAACCTGCAATCCTCCAGCTCTACCATAGATGCTTTTCAATTTGGGCATATTGCACAATTTGAGTGTTTTCAATTTGGAGACAGGAAGGTTAACATCATCTTCTTCTCTAGACTCATCGGAGGCTATTATTTCCTCCAATTCTTCACAACTATCCACAACAATAGATTCTAGATTCTGGAGCTGCCTAACTTGCAACCCTCTGGTTCTGCCACAGATGCTTTTCAATTTGGGCATATTACACAGTTCAAGTCTTTTCAGTTTAGGAAGAGGGAGTTCCTCGGAGGCTATTATTTCCTCCAATTCTTCACAACCATCCACAGTAATACATTCCAGATTCTGGAGCTGCCTAACCTGCAACACTCTGGTTTTACCGTAGATGCTTTTCAATTTGGGCATGTTGTGCAGTTTGAGTATTTTTAGTTTAGGGAAAGGGAGTTCCTCAGAGGCTATTATTTCCTCCAATTCTTCACAACCATCCACAGTAATAGATTCCAGATTTTGGAGCTGCCTAACCTGCAACCTTCCAGCTCTGCCACAGATGCTTTTCAATTTGTGCATGTTACGCAAGACAAGATTTTTCAAATTAGAGAGAGGGAGATTAGCATCTTCCTCTCTGGACTCCTCGGATGCTATTATTTCCTCCAATTCTTCACAACCATCCACAGTAATAGATTC